AAATCTAATTTGCTAATTATATGTATCGAATAATATAATATAAATTGAACTTTATTTTTTTATATAAATAAATATAGATAAAGAAACTATATGCAAGTGTACACTAATAAATGAGTCCACATGAATTTAGAAGTCAAATGTTCATAATAAAAGAGTTTAAGAGAACTTAAAAATCAAATGAGTATAAAAAATAAAAATTGAATGAAAATAAATATGTTGGTAGAATTGACTTTATAATAATAATTAATGATAAATTAAAAAATAATTTTTTTTTACATATACTGATATTTATAAATGGTAAAGATAAGTAAAACCTTTTTTAGGGTTAAGGAGAGAAGTTAGTGAATAATCACTATACGATGAATATGAGTATCACTTGACATTGGTGAGCATTCAAAATTTTCTTCATTTGGAACGTCTATTGATAAAGTTAATACTTTTTCAAATGAAAAGTGACAATTCATTAACTTAATTTGTTATTGATTCATCTTGACGACGATTTTGTATTTATAAATCCATCTTAGTTTCAAACCCCAATAATCCCTCCTCTCCCCCCGGTGCAAAAAAAAACGCATTTCCTCCTCCATGATCTTCAAATAATGCTCCCATGCCCAACTCTTTTTTTTTTTTTATAATATGAGCTTTTTGGTGGGAGAGAGGAGTTGGATGAGAAAACTTGAAGTTGCATACAAAATCAAAATGCCTGTTTCAGTTCAGCTTTGCCATTTCTCGATTTCAGTTAAGACAGTGTGGCAAACGTCCAAGTTTGAATAGGAGTAAGATAGCGAAAATTAGGACAAAACTTATCTGATAATGAGGAATTACCAAATAAGGACTAGGGAGCGATTTTAATCTTGTGGGAACCATCTCGGAAATCAATATTTATCTTTTTTAACTTAAGTATCGGAGGATTAACATTTGAAGCTTATTCGGTATTCAACTTTCTTCTGAGATGGGCATAATCCAGTGCAACCCAACACAAAGAAACACCAGAGTTCGATATCAACATGTATGATCTAACGCCAATATTTTTTTACCAATGGCAAGAAGATAGTGATTACCATTTCTTTCATGGACTAGGGATGTGGAGGTAGTCAACTTAACAGCCTGTTGTTGGGTCCATATGTTTACCCTATTTGTTAACCCTGAGAGGACTAAAACCGCCGGTATTTCCATTTGCCACTCAGTAGCTCGTTTTTGGCTAGAAAGAGAGAGAGAGAGGTGCCGCGCGCGGGGGGAGAGATAGGGTGTCAAGGCGTTGATTTATATTAGATAAATACTTATATAACACTTCTCTCAGAGTTTAAACTTTTAAGTAAATGATATTCAATATGATATCAAAATCTAAAAAAGTCACACGTGAAACACCAAAAAAGAGGTCTATCGTGAGAGAAAGTATTAGATAAACAGTTATATTACATCCATCTTCAACATTAAGCAATTAAATAAGACGGTGTTCAACAATTTAGACCTTAAGAGACATGAAAATTCAGAGGCATAGTATGGCTAAAATTCCCAGTCACCAATGACCATTCATGTGATTGATGATAGAAAAAGCAACCCCCATCCCATCAGGGTTTGTAGGGTCCATGAAAAGAAGCCATGCATGAACAACCACACAATTAGGGTAGTCATTACTACAGTGGGATCAAGTCAGAAAATTCTTCCTGAAAGAATTGTCTATGGGTCAAGTTAATAATGAAGCATGCCCACGTTTAGAAATATGTTTGGCCCTATCAAGCTTCAGGCATGCAGGCTTCAGACATATCTGTAACTTTGCTGTCCACTTTTATTCTTCATAAAGGTCTTGGAAAAATGGTGAATGTACTACTTGTGGGGGATAGGCCAAGTTCATCCCCTATCAGAAAGGTTGAAAACAATGTCCCATGCACAGAGAGTTGTCTGGGTAAACTTATAGTTAGCTCATTTTGGCTCGTGGTCAGGTTTTTAGAGAGAGAATTTTCTGAAAAGAGCATTCTATGGCCTTCAAATTTTCAGAAAAAAGTACTACTGTGTGTGCATGGCTGGCCTAAATTCGATCGAGTGAGGCGCTCTCTTGGGGCTCCGTTTGCCTGTTCCGCATAAAATTATATCCTTATATCTAACAGCACATATATATAATAGAGAAAATTTAAGACGATATGACATATTGTCAAAAAAAGCTACAACTATTCTTCTTTAAATATATACATCCCCTCGGTCAAATTCTCTCGATAGAAAGAGATGTTAATTGTATCACGTTGAAGCCATAAAAAATTATAACTTATAATAAACAAATTTATTCAATCTCAAAAAAGGCTTTAGATCCCATAAAAAATTTCAACTATTGGCCTGACCCTATGAGAGTGTGTGTGTGTGTGTGTGTGTGTCTCTCGGGGTGGAGGGTTTTGGGGGGGGGTTACTTTGGCATCACACTACCAATGTCGGTCTAGAAGAATACATAGGGAGGTGGCTTCAAGTGTATATGGTGGTTCAGTGTCAACGTTCCATGCAAGGAGCTGGGGTTGGAAATGATGAAAACTCTCCTTGCCGGCATGTCAAAATGTTAAAAAAATAAGGAAAACATCAAAAAAAGTCCCTCCAAGTCCAAAACATGTTTGAATCTGAAAAAATCCAGACTTATTTTTATTTATCTGAAAAAGCCCGATTGTTGGTACTACTTTTAACAGCTAACACCAACACAGAAAATGATTGTTTGGGAAAGAAATTTAAAATGAATTTTATCCAGTTAAGAAGTAAATAAAAAATTTATCAAACAAAAAATTTCACCATGATTTTCACATTAAAAATGATGATTAATTTGGGGTCTTGGATTGTGGGTACTAGCTAGCATGCACAGCAGTAGTGAAACAATGGAGGTATGAGCCCAACTGGAAATGAATAGTGTTGGGCTTGGTTGTATCTATTTTGGGTGATATAAAGAGTTGGGAAAGCTGGAAAGCAGTATAGGAGACCTTCTTTCATAGAGACACTACAAGAAAAGAGGCCTCAGCCAAACTTGACACAGCAACACTTGATTTAGTTTCTGAGTAGGCCATACTTGATTTGTCTTCAACTTAATTTGGGTATTGCACAAAAAAATACAAAGTTAAACGGTCAAGCCGCGACTTTTGAGTGTTAGGTTATAACTCAAAAAAAATTACAATCGATCACTAGTGTGAGGTAGGGATATTGAAGAGCTCTCCTGTGTTGTAAGTGAGCTGTGTGAGAGTGTTAAAGTTATCAAGGACGCGAGTCAAGTAAATGATTTTTCAAACTAAAGAGTTAGACTAATTTTCTTTAATGAAGTCTCTTACTCATTAATTTGTATTGCTTGAAAAGAAGGCACTTACAGTTTGTTTTTGTGTATCAAGATTCAAGACCCCTTTCCTTAGAGGGCAAGAGTTTGCTTATATACCCCTAGTCTAGTGTGGTCTTTCTGTCATGATGGGGGTGGTCCCCTGTTTGTTAGGATTTTGAGAAGAAATATTTATGAGGTGGCCTTTCTGGAAGCTGGTGACATGGCATTAATGGCTTTTTCCTGGATAGGACCTAATGAAGTATTCTCCCTTTTTATCCTTCCTCAAGCTTGCTGGGCTGTTTGGAGTGTCATATGGGCTTTTGCCTGTGGTGGGCTGACCTGATCTTGTTTTAGAGGAGGGGTGCAACTCGGACAGATTGGACAATCAATTCTAGTTCAATTTTAGGTATATAATCTTTAACTCTAATCCTAACATTAACCCTACGTCGGGTTGGGGAACTCAACCCAAACACTGCCGGAGTTTAATTCGAGCGGACTCGGGTTGATGATTTCGGGTTACTTTACGAGTTCAATTCTGATAGAGCCCAAAATAAGTTTGTTGTTCTAAACCTAATACATATATTACATAATATTCACCTAAATTAACAACCAATAACTTCAATAAAGTTTTTAACGAGAGAGGCAAAGAGAACAATAGAACAAAAATGAAAAACCAGTGCTAATACTTTATATATATATAATTTTTTTTAAAATTTGTCGGGTTTGGGTTGAACTCGAGTTCACGAGGCCTTAACCCAAGTCCAACCCAAATTGAATTCGGGTTGAGTTTTTTGACCCAAATCTAACCCAAATATTAAAAATTCTTGTTCAAACCCTAATTTTTTCGAGTTGGCTCGGACTGAAATCGGGTTTCCCAACCCAAGTTGCACCCCTACTTTAGAGTAAGCCCTTCCTGATGGCTGGGTCGGGCTCATCTTTGGATTGTTTTCTCTTGGTTTCCCTGCTCTATCCAGCTTCGTTCGGATTGGGCTGTCCTTATTCTAACAGATACATCATGTCACGAAAAAAGTTATTTTTGCAATTGACCATAACATTTTATAATTAATCACAATGTTTATGATAAATCATGCATAATTTCAATTAGTTGAAACTTTATCCTTAAAAGTTGTAATTTACCCTCTAAAAGGTTCTAAATTTCCGTACCGCACTGAAAAATCTCCCTTTAAGTTGATGCTGGTTGAAAAATTTTCTGCCACTCCATAATGGCATAAAGTTTGATGACCCACCATCAAACTTGCATCCAACTTAAACCAAGAAGGGAGGTTCAAAAAACCCCAGCATGCATAAAGTAAAAGGATGAAAAAACTAGCATGCATAGAACTGACGTGTTGTAAATAATAAATCCTTACAAATTAGCCCTAGTATTGACATGTTGTACATAATAAATCCTCACAAACCCACATAGGTCTCGAATTAAGCCGGTCTCGTTTGATTTCATGCACACAAAAGCGCACCATAAACCATACATCAAAATAGGCACTTGGATCTAACAGTCTTCCGTCCATTTTATTATACGTAGGTAATGCATTTATCACACCTTGATGGTACATAGATTTCAAAACACACTAATCAACTATAGTATACCTTACAAGATAATAGAGCGATAGGACAGTCATACATTCGAGTCCTTATTTCACAAAGCATATGTTAAAAAAAAGAGCATAGGACAACCATACATATCATTAACAGGACCACACACCTAGGCCATGGACCAAGTAACGTCCACTACACCCAAGTCCTGATTCAGGCCTAAAGCTTTCCACACAGCATCTGATCCATCAACAATGTTGTTAGGGCATGGTGGCTGACCTGCATGCTCCTCATCACAACCACGAGTCGAGTCACACTCGTCCACCACCTTTGCTATCACGCTTCTCCCATTACTAGCCTGAATACGTATCATCTTAAGACACCGTGATTTTCTAGCAAACCATCCGGTGGACAACGCAACAATGCGTTCCGTGTTGCTATGGAATTGATCGTCGCATTCCGATGGACCCCCACCATCCCCTCCTTGACTGAAATCATTTAGGGTAAGTTTGGCCGGTGTGGATGCGGAGATCGGAGGGGAGCAAGAATAAGTAGGGTAGCGTTTGCCCTGGCACATAAGAGTGCCGTAGGGCATACAATTGTTAGAAGGGGAAGGGGGTCCTCCGCTACTACATATATGGGTTCCGACGTCAGGGTCATCGTTGCACTTTCCGTTAATGCAGATTAGCTGACCGGCGCAATCATTTAGGGTGTTACATGGACCATTGCAATTAGAAATGGCATCCCCAGGGAATGGAAGGGAGATAATACTGATCAAAATGTAAAAGACAAGTAACATAAGGTGTGCCATGGCATGGGATTGTAGAGATTTTACATGTGTACATGCTTATATATGGTGTGATACAAAGGAAGGCATTGCCATTGGCATTCATTTCCCTTTAGTGGGTTGACTACAAAGTCAGTCCGTCTTTGGTCTTTTGCAGAAGTTCATGCCCGTCCACTATCAATGAAACCTCGTCTTTCAACCTATCCTTGCGTGCACGGCAATGATAGCATTACCGTGTAGGAGTAGAGCTTTTACCCAACCTATGGAGTTGTACAAAAATATACCTAAAAGAAAGTTATTTTCAAAATATTTTCTAAATTCAGCACTTTTTAAGAAATTTTTAGTCAAAAAGACATAAGTTAGAATAACATGTTTAGAAAAAAACGTCGAACAACTGACGTTTTTTATTGCAAGATTAAAGACATATAACACCACTAAAAGTCAGTTGGACAGACGACAGACGTTTTTAGATAGCTGTGGATTTGTAATGGTCGCCTGAGGTTTTGAACTATTTTCTTTCTCCAGTTGTTGGTTGACCCGCCGAGTTCTGATCACCGGCTTTTCAATTTTTCCATATCTCTGCCCATGTTTAATTGAAGAACTTTGATATTCTCTATTTAATTATTTTCTGTATCCACAGCATTTCAAACATCTGAAATTTATTTATCATCCGTTTGTGGACATTGCAGCTTTTACATGTGAAATTTCCTTGGTGGCATGGGGAACCTCAATAGGCCTCGTCTCCTCTCGTTTTTCAGTTTTCTGTTCTGGGCATGGGCGGAGGGAGGCATGGGCAGGGTGGGCAAGTCCCCCCCACCCCCACAACTTCAAATTATTAGATATATATATTATATATTTATATAATATATTATTTGTGCCCACCTAAAACTCAAGAGAAAAATATTAGACTCATATTATTTATTGAAAAAAATTAAACTCATTTAAAATAAAAAAATTTGAGTCTACCATTATCTACCCAAACTTATTAAAAAATTAAATCTTTGACCTATCACAATCCATCCAAACCTATTAAAAAAATAAAATTTTTGACCCAACATTAAAAACAAAACTTTTGGCCCACCCAGCNTCACAATCCATCCAAACCTATTAAAAAAATAAAATTTTTGACCCAACATTAAAAACAAAACTTTTGGCCCACCCAGCATTAAAAAATAAAGTTTTTGACTCACTTGATTAAAATCTATCTTATCTAGTATCTAGTATATTTGCCTCCCCTAATTTTTTGAAAATTTCAATGGTTCTAGTCTTCTTTTTTTTTTCAATAAATTAGTGGACCACTGACCTTCTAAAATAAATGTTAGTTTTGGATTGAGTCAATGATCTATTTGTACATTGACAAATATACAATATTTTTATTTAACTATCACAATGTTCGTTAATTTTTAAGAACAATTTTTAATTTTTATTTACTATTTTTTAATTAATAGTAGTTTATAACCTAATAAAATACGATTATATACAAAAGACAAAAGGTTGTAACCTATAAATATTTCAAACTATTTTGATTAGGGAATTTTTCTATAAGATGATAATAATTTCAACCAAATTTTTCAACTAAATAAAGAATAATTTTACAACAGACTTGTGATTGTGCGCATTGATAGAAAATTAATAAAAAATTAATTTACATTTAATTCATATACAAAATACATAATTTGATAAAAGAAAAAATTTAACATATGTATACTATCGTGTAGGAATAATGTTAGAAATAAAAATTATATTAAATTAAAAATTAATCAAATATTAAAATAATTGAGCATGTGATAAAAATGAGTGATGCAATATTTTTTGGGAGAACAATATATATAGGATAAAATTCAACTTGTGAGCTATCTTATTATAAAGATATAATTAGGTTAAAATATACTAAAAAAATTATTTTGTGTCTTTTTGTTAGGATTTTGTTTTGGTTAAATAAAAATTGAATTTACTATTTCACAATAATTTTATCTTGATTCTTATTTTTTTGTCATTCTTGAACTAATTTTTTTTGTATCAATTTCGAAAAAATATTTTTTTATACCAATTATATTTTGCCCCCTCATAGACATTAATGGCTGCGCCCCGGATAATATACATTTTTTTTTGGTATTTTTTATGTTAAAAAGACTTCATGTATTAAATATAATATAATAAATATAAATATATTATATAGTATGATTGGTTATGAGAAAAAATATTAATGTGTATAACTAAAGTGCTCACCCTAAACAACATGGCTCCGCCCCTGGTTCTGGGTTTTGGTCATTCGTTTCATCTCAGCCGCCGATTATGTCCTGACTGATAAAATTCTTCTCAACTGTGGGGATCCTTCTGATTCTACCGATATTGATGGCTGGAAATGGATCCTCAGATATTGGCTCAATGTTTTCGATGGCCGGTGGCAAGTCATCAACTTCCCTAGCCGTTACTCAAAAACCCTCTCTCTCAAGTTCCTTTTATGACCGCTCGTATTTTCCAATCCGAATTCACCTGTAGTTTTCCCCTGGCCTTTGGTCATAAATTTGTCCAAGCACGACCCCTCTATTAAAAACGTCAATCCAACTAACTTTTTTAGCGGTATAACTTTTATCTTGCAATAAGAAATATCAATTGATTTGATGTTTTTGTCTAAAAATATTAGTTGGATTTAAAAAACGTCATTCTAAATGACATTTTTAAAAGTAATTGAATTTGAAAAATACTTTGAAAACAATTCTTTTTGAGTATATTTTTGTACAACCCTACGGGTTGGAGTAAAAGCTCCATAATGTTAATGTTGGGAAAAAAAGAAAAAAGGGTTAATTATTTTTTAGCTCCTATGTTTCAACTAGAAGTATTTTTACCTTATTGATATTTAAAATTATATACATTGCTCAGTATAGTTATTTATCAAAGTGAAATTCTTACTTTTATTATCCAAGTTAACAAATAGTGGGTTTCACATGCGCAAAACATTATGTGATCTATGTTTTCATTATTTCCCTCCCAAAGAACATTGTTTAAATGCATAAAATAACCTTAAATATTATATGATGTAATACTCAAATAGCTAGGGCATCGATCCCAAATCAAAAATAAAAATGAAAGAAAAACATGAGTAAGTGATTTTTGGTCTCAAATCAAAAGTTTCACTTGAGGGAAGAAAAGACTAGGCATGTTAAATAGTGGAAGATTTATGTTTTAACCTTGGTAGTGATTTTCATCCATTACATGAGTAGGAGTAAATCAGATCAAAAGTTTGATTTTATAATATGGGTATTATTATAATTTTATAATTTCTTTAACTACATCAATTACTTCATTTTGGTACATAACTATAAGAGAATAATATGCATAATTTTAAATATTAAGTAAACAAAGTGTTTCTACCCAAAATCACACAAAGATAAAAGCAATTATCCCCCCCAAAAAAAGGGGGATCAACGTGGTGCTGGCTAAGTAAAATTGTCGGACTAAAATATAAACGAGCTTCAAAATTTTGGTCTGAAAAACAAGTGCCAAATCTGAAGAAATACATAGCCATCATGTTTCTAGAGGTAGAAGGGTTTTTTGTTTTTTTGAACTTGGAGGTAGAGGGGTTCAAAAACCCTACTTTCGACATGGATCAACCATGATGGGGGTTGTTGAAACTTACCACCTTTTTCATTTGGGCCTTGCCTTTTGTAGGTTTGGGTAGGCCACAGGCAAGGCCAGCCCACTGTCCAACGCCTTATAAAAGGAAATATTGTGCAAATTTGGCACAGGAAAAGGATATGCTATATTAGGGGTTAGTGGACTCGATACAACACAATTAATAAATAAATGAAAAATTTAAAGGTTGGTCCCCCTTTGTAGGCTTATTTGATGATAAGTTCATCAAGAAAATTTATTTTGTGATAAGTCCATTTTGATCTCCATTTTTTCCAAAATACCCCTACTAGTTATGACATGTTTAATTAAAATAAATTTGAACACTAACATTAAAAATTTAAAATTCTCCCTCTCAAATCTATCTATATGACTATTTATATATATAGTGGGAATCCGATTTCGGATGGTTTAGAGAGGGTGCAAAAAAGGAAGAAAGGAGTAGGTGAATGGGATGTAGGGCTGTCTTAGGCATTTCGTACCATCTATATATAGTGTTTTGATTTAAAATTTCAATTCTTTCGTGTTTCAGCAGTAGCATATTATTCTATGGAGCTAGAGTCCAATATATATATATATATATATATATAATAACATTAAAAAAAATAATATCATTTAAACACAAAAAATGTAATAACATTTAAATACAAAAAAAAAATATTCAAAAAAAAATATTAATATTGAATATTAATATTTAAAAAAATAAAAATAGTAACATGCTCACAAAAATAATAACATGAACAGTAATATGATAAAAATTTTATATATATATATAAAGAGAGAAAGAGAGATTATATCACTTGTTCTTTGAATTTGAATTTTAAATTTAAGAAAAAAAAATTAATGGCATATTTTCATTGATAATGAATTAAGGAATAATGATTCTTAAGTTAAGAAACTAATTTAAAATTGTTTTCAATGAAGGGTATTTAGGATTTTTAAAAAAATAGTGAAGTTAACTACTTATTAGCAAGATTAAAAATAGACGTACCTCCAAAAAAGATTTTTTAACGGACTAAACTCACTATAAGTCCCTTAAAGAGAACTCAACCCTAATTTTCACTAAATAAATTAGGTACGAGTAAAACCAATAAAAAAAATATACAATACGATACGGCTCGTTAATATATACTAATTTTACACTACATAAATCTGATATAACACAATTCGTTTGACACAAATTAATATAAAAATCAGATATGAGTTGAATATTTTTCGATACGAACACGATAAAATTCAATACGGATTTGCTTTACTTGACATGATTGACAAGCCAAACAATATGTTGTATCGTTTCTTCTATTTCTTCCTTTCTTCCTTTTTTGGTGACAGAAAATCAACCCAAATCAACTGTCTTTATGACCTTTTTGACAAATGCAAACAACAAACAT